GCCCTGGCCACAGCTGCCGTGGGGCTGTGGCCCCCGGGGATCACCACGGGCCCTCCCCCGTGCACCGGGACCAGCACGCAGCAGTTGGACCAGTTTTGAGCCCAAAACCGCTGATAGTGGCCCCTGCGGACATACTGGCCCCTGCCAGGGCACTGCCTGCCTCCAGCTCTGCTGCCAGGGAGTACACCACCCGGTTCCCAAAATACTCCTGGAAACGTATTCCAAAACGGCGTGTATCTGCTGAGAACCTCACAGCCTCCTTGCAAAGAATATAACCACTGAGCACTACATAAACCTTTGCAAGGAGATTTTCCATGCCGAGTCAAAGCCCCTGAAATTCCCAAATCAGCCAGAGCTGGGGCCGAGCAGGGGTGTGGGACCACGAACCACAGCAGCCAGTGTGGCTGGGGGCACATGTCTGTCCTCTCCCTCCCAGACTGCCCCGAGCACTTACTCTTCCTGGCGCTGCCGCGGCCTCGCCGCAGCAGTGCTGGGCCCACCGTGCCCCTGCCAGGGGAGGGGATGGGCACGGGCAGCAGCACTGGCTTCAGGATTCTGCTCTGCCTCGGGCCGTTTTCGGAGATGCTCCCTTGGGAGGAGAGTGAGGAGGTCGACAGCGTCCACGAGGTGTACAGGGTTGGCATCTTTGAGTCGGAGAGACTAGATTTCCTGTAGGAAAAGAAGATAAGCTCAGCCTGGACTCAGGGTTTGGCAAGGGAAGCAGGAGTTTGCCTGACAGGCAACTCGGAGCTTCGAATGCACCCGTGCTGCTCATGTCAGGCTCTGGTGGGAAACACCATGGGTGATACTGTCAGTTCAGGGTTCTGATTCCTTATCTTTCGGGGGTTGGAGGAATGATTTATGGTTTAATAACTGAGCAGTGATTCATCAGATAATTCAGGCATTGATTTATGATGAAGAAATTTCCTAAGAAGGATGGAACAGCAGCTCCAGCCCCGTGCTTGTGGCAGAAGTGTGTTGTGATGTGAGGAACAGCATACCTGAAGAGGGGAGCGACGTAGTTGCTGGGGAAGGTGCCGACCCTGCCCGTGACGAGGGACATGCCCCGCAGCCAGCCGTCCTCGTCCTTCCCGAAGACACGCACCCCTTCTCCCTTCTGCAGCTCCAGCTCGTCTGGCCCCTGCGCCACGTAGGAGTGGAGAGCCACACACCTGGGGAGAGAGGCTGTGAGGGAGACAGCTCTGTCCCTCAAGTAGGAGTGGAGAGCCACACACCTGGGGAGAGAGGCTGTGAGGGAGACAGCTCTGTCCCTGCACCTGGAGCTCTGGGGTTTAACCGATGCCTCTGGCTGTGGGTGAGCAGCTGCTGTTTGCAGCCTCTTCAACCAGGGCGTGCATCAAGCACTTGGGTGCTGCCCTTGCAGGGAAGAAACCACCTGTAACCTCAGGCCCAAGGGATATGAATTAAAGAAGAGGCAGCAGGATGGAGAACAAAGCAGCCCTGAGGATGGTTTCTGTCCCAGAAGTGCCAGCCCAGGGTGACAAGTGCTGGGGAGGAGGTAGCTGCTGCTCTGCACCTCACAGAGTGAGTGCTCCAATGAAAACACTGATTAAGGGCTGACAAGTACTGTCCCAAGGCAAAGCACATAACAGAGCACAGGTAGGTGCTTTCTCTCAGCCATAGCACCAGGAGTACTTTCTGCTTTTGAAGCCAGAGGCCTTGGATCTGCTCACCTGGAGCATCACTGGGAGGTACTGGAGACCCAGGGAGGAGCACCACTTACACTCCATCTCTCTCCCCTTCCTCATCCTCCTTGACTGGAGCAGCACAGGGACTGGAGTCACTGCTACTTGGAGAATGAAGTAGCCAGAGGAGGAGGTACAAGGAGTTGTGTGACTCCACTCTGGGGTAGTGAGGAAATTAGGCTAGGAAGTAGTTTGAGATCTCCTCTAGACCTTTCTGTCATGATTCTGGGGCTGTGACCAGAGCATGGAGCTTTGCTTTCCTCACTGACCCATGTGTGAGCACACGGCAAAACTGCAGCAAAAGAAAATGGTGTTTTTTTCATATTGTTCCCCTATTTGTTCTTTACAGAACTTTGTCTCCGGTGTAATACATTGAATTGCACTGCTGTTGTGTCTTTCAAGGGGAATGTGATCTGTTCCCAAATCTCAATGAGTTACAGCCCAGTACAGCAATTATTGGATATTACTTACAAAATACAAACTACTGTTTGTCTGGATAGTCAGGAGCTATCCCAGAACTTTTAGAACGATTTCTCTCTCCTGTTGTTCAGCACAAGCACCTGAAGGTGTGACCTGCCAGGTGTCTGTGTGAGGGGCTGCTCCCTCAGGCACTGGCACAGCCCAGGTGAGCTCAGGGCACTCTTGTTCCGCAGCAGCTCATTGCTGCGCAGGAGTCACCTTGCAGGGAGGGTGTGCAGGTGCTGGTCTGACACTGTAGGGCTGGAAAAGGAGCTGTGCAAAGCAGCCAGCTGGGGTAATGCTCTGACACCATTCTCATTCTGCAAATTACTCTAAGGTCTTGGGAGTTTCCTTGCCTTTGGCACTGAGTGTGTGCAGGAGTCCTGGCTGGGCTGGGAGCAGGTGCCCAGCACAGCGCTGGGCTGTGGGTGCTGCTCGTGGACACCAGCTCAGCCCAGAGGGTGCTGAGTGCTGTGCCAACAGCATGTGGTGATGCTGGTGTGATTTTGGGTGCATTGCCACAGCACCAGGCTGGTGCTTCTTATCTCGGGGAAACAAACCATCACAGCGTGTGATCTGCACAGGGTTCAAAAACTGGATTGTTCAAAACACCAGTGCCCAGGAAGGTTTAAAATAAATAACTGGAGGCACTTCAGGAGAGATTGGTTTCTTTACTCTTACAACAACTTGTAATGTGTTGTTGACAGGCAGAACTATTTGTCCCTAAGTCCTGCAGTGAGGTAAGAGGTGCAGGGATGGTTCACCTGCTGGGAACAGAACAGAGCTGTGACACCAGGTCTCTGCGACCTGCTTGGACCAGCCAGGTACATTCCTATGAGGATCCGCACTCGGATCCAAGCTGTGCCTGCACCTCCTGGCTGGCAGGCCCAAGCTCAGGGTGAAGGCACAGGAGATTACACCCCTCACAGCCCAAAGTGTTTCAGTTTCCTTACGTACAGGTAAGCTGGCACGTGGTGCTGCAGGTGGGGAAGGGTGACGATGGCTGCCGAGGGTCCCAGCGGTGCTGGTGTGGGGTAGTATGAGGTACTGACCTATGGGAGAAAGAAAGCAAAGAAAACAAGGTGTTACTCTGGTTATTTGCTTATTTTAGTCACTGGAGGAGCAGCTAGTTTCACCCACCCTTCAAAAAAAACCACCAAAGATGTTTCCTGAGGGAGAAGAGTTTGGAGCATTTGGCTAAAGGAAAGACCAGACGTAAGAGGAAGACTCAAAATAGCAGAATTATTTAGGTTGGAAAGGACCTCCAAGATCACTGAGTCCAACCTGTGACCTATCACCACTTGCCAGCTAGAGCAGAGCTCTGAGTGCCACGTCCAGCCGTTCCTTGGACACCTCCAGGGATGGTGACTCCACCACCTCCCTGGGCAGCACATTCCAGTGCCTGACAGCCCTTTCCATGGAGATATTCCTCCTCGTGATTGAGCCCTTAACCTCTACCTCTTGCTACTCCCACAGGTATGAGATCCTCCTGAGTGGAGAGACACTCCTTCGCCTTTTCCCAGCTGGTGCTTTGGTGCGTGGTGTCCTCTCATCCTTCTTCACTTGGCTCTGAGCAAGACGAGTGCCTTTGATCCACTCATGGTCTCTGCTGCTGCTTCAGGAACTACAAGGAGTTTGGGAAAATGGCATTTCAAGCCCAGGCTTTGAACCAGGAGACCGTCGCGTCTGCCAGGTGAGGACTGGCGTGATCACTGCTGTTTCACTTGTTTATTCAGCTCCAGTTGGGAGTATTGGCATTGCCTGAGCCCTAATAACACAGTCTTTGCCCAGTGATCTTTAATGACTATGATTAAAGCTCTTTGCCTGGCCGCGGCGCCGCAGGAGCACGGGCAGGGGCTCTGTGTGCCACTTCACACCTGCAGGGCCGTACCAGCCAGCACAGCGTCCCCTCTGTCCTCCCGCTGGGCCCGTGGGTGCTCTGGGGGAGCTGTGCTCCAGCTCTGCTGCTCAGGTACCTGTGCCTTGCGCGTGCTGGATGGGACCTGCTGTCGCCCGTGGAGGGCGAGGGTGACTCCTTGGCGCTCCTGGTGCTGCTGGCAAGGCCGTGGGCAGCGTGCTGGGCTTCTCTGTTCCCTGTGGTGACATCCCCTGCTGAGGGGTGTCCAAGGTGAAGTGTGTGCTGTTGGGTGTCCTGCTGAGCATCTGGCTGTTACCCCTGACCCAGAACCTGTCTGTGGGCTGTTCCTGTTCTTCTGAGTCTGGTTTTGTGTCCCTTGTGCTCTCTGGGCTCTGCAGGGAGCCAGGAGGGTCCCAGTTACCGAACCCACGGGTCTGTGCTAACTGGACACACTCTGACTCATCCCTTCGACTTCTGCCTTTGCTCCTCTGGTTGCCACCGGCGCTGGCAGCACAGCAAACCTCGGGGTGGGTGTGGGTGATGGGGGAGCACTCAGCACTGCCCTGGTCTCTCCACACAGCCTGGGGAAGGGGCTGGCAGCAGGCAGACTGGCATCCTGGGGATGCTCTTCTGCTGAGCTGCCCCTTCTGCGGCACAAAACGTACCCTGTGGTGAACTGCTGCTGGCAACAGCTTATTCCTGCTTGGATTCCTGTGCTGCACAGGCTGGGAGGCATCGGCCGTGGTGGTGCCCTGGCCTGGCTGCTGTGTGAGCCCCCTGGGAGGCATCGGCCGTGCTGGTGCCCTGGCCTGGCTGCTCTGGGCTGGCTTTGACCTCTTGTTCGTTTCAAATCTCGTTTCTGGTGGTCATGCCTGTAACGTGGGGCTGGAGCACTGGCTTGGCAAGGACCGAGGGAAAAAGAGAAGTGACTCACCAGCTCCGGTGCTCTCCAGTGAATTAAGTTAATTAAAACACCTCAGCAATTCCAGCCTCTGTCTCAGACCTGGAGTGGCAGGTCAGCTTCAAACCATCTATGCATTCCTCGCTTTCTAGTCCAGGCAGAGTCAGACGAGGAGCTCATAAAGTTCATTGGAATTTATAATTCTGTTTTAATAATTATCATAACAAAAGTGCTTGAAATCTGGGGATTTGGAGTTTCTTTTTCCTGCACTGGAGCAAAATGACAGCCTTTTGCTGGTTTTCCTGATGGAACTGTGCTGGAATATCCCCTTCTGGCTGGAAAGCTCCATGTTTCTCATCTCTGTTCTCTGCCCGGGAACACCATCCCTTAGCGTCTGCGTCGGAGCTGCCTTTGTGTTTGCAGTAGAGAGGGGAAAAATGGGATGAAGTATTTTCCAGCCTTCGAGGCCAAACTGTAACATGTACCATGCAATACGTAGCATCACGTGAATGTAACATCTCTTGCTTCTGCTGTTGGCAGCAGTTTGTGCTGACGCATTTTGGGTAAGATCCTATTGGGGCTGTGAGACATGATACAGCTTCAACTGAATTATGGAACTATTGTAAGGCCTCATTTCCTCTCCACAACCAGGATCTCATATCCCAGCTCTGTGCAGGCTGGTGCTCAGGACAAAGTGCCTGTTACTGCCCAGACACAAACTGCCCGGGGCTGGATGAATGCTTAATAAGACATTGGAGCAGCCTTGAATGTGAAAGGTGTCATATAAATCTAAACAAACCCCTTGTTCTCCCTTTTCAGGTGATCTGTGAAGATTCTGCGCTCAGACCCTCAGTCACAGAGGAAGAAGGAATGAGACCCTTTTGCCTCCTAACACAGAGTGGCTACAGTCCAAAAGGTTGGTCTATGTTTATGTCTCAGCCCCAAATTCAGCGTCTCTTGGGACTGTCTTGGCTGCAAGTGCCTTACCTGCAGAGGGGAGCTGTAGGGGAGCTCTGCCCTCTCGCTGCTCTGGGTGGCCACGGTGGGGTTGCTGGAGCTGATGAGCACGGGGGAGCTGATCTCCAGCGCCGGGCGCTCGCTGGGCGCGTGGACCATCCTGTTGAGGGTGTTGAGGGCGGTGGTGATGGAGAACTGCCGCAGGCTCTTGCGCCTGGAGTCAGGCACCTTGGGGAAAGCCGCCGAGTCCGCGCCCTTCGCCTTGGGAGACGCTGTTCGCAGGGATGAGCTCTTGAACTGGGGGGACCAGTGGGTCTTGCTGGTCTGCAGGAGCTGCCGAGTGGTGGCGTTTGGCTGGAAGAGGCAAGGGGAGATGTGATGGGGCGTCACAAGTTGCACCTGGCACAGCCCCTGCCTGCTCTGCTTTGCTCCTTCCCATCTGGCAGCAGAGCTGCAGGTAGGGTTCGGGTGACGTTACAGATGAACTTTAAAACCTTGGGGCTCGGTCACTGTTAAATCCTGGGTGCAAAATTCCTGATGCAAAGCTGACAGCAAAATTAGTGTTGGTTTGAAAACCTTATTGCTGAGACAACATGTCACTGAGGCTGAGTGCTCCCCCTGACATGTTCCTTGTCCAAGCCTCTGGCTGGCAGAAGTGCAGGGAGAGCTGCCCAGCTCTCTCGCAGTGCTTAACCACTCTAACTCTGAATTAGAAGGGACGTTTGGGCACATCTCCCTTTCCCCTCGGTGCTGGCACATGTGGGTGCTGCTCCCAGCAGGACAGCCAAGCCAGTGGCAGGACATGGGCTTGGAAAGGCCCTCACTGGTGGTGGCTTTCCCAGCAGGATTTGGTCCACCCAAGCCCATGTCTGTCAGCCTGGACATTTGTGGCTTGCTGCTGCTCCCAGTGAAAAAGCCTCGGCTGGTTAAGCGTCGGTGTTAAAGAGGGAGAGGCAGGCCCCGAGTTTGCATACGGGCAGTGCTCACACAGGATTTCTTGGAAACTGCTGATCAGGGTGTTGTAGCAAAGGGCATGTGGTGACAGTGTTTTCCACCACGATGGGTGCCAGAGGAATTAATCATGATTTACTGCTGACATTAGCGAATTGCAAAACCTGGAGATTCTCACCCACTCGTGGAGGCAATGTGCCCAGCGCTGGGGTGGACAGGAAGACTGAGGCAGGAGAGCTGCAGGTGGCTCCCAGGGTTTCTTGTGTTACGGCAGGGCTTGTTTGCACGTTCTCCCTCTCCAAAGCAAGGTTCAAACCCACAGTGTGTGCACAGGGACACATGTGCCATGGCCAGCTTGTCATTTCTGCTTGTGATTGAACTTTAGCCTAAACTGGAAACATTTTTCTGCCTCTAAATACCAGAAGATGTGATCAAATGGGACACAAACTGTGTGTCAGAGCCAGGAGAAGCCTCGTGTCTCCCAGTCTTTGCTTCTCCAGAATTAATTTCTAATTCCTAGGTGGGTCTGTGCGTCCCCAGCGAACCTGTGTCTGTCTATACCAGCCTTAAGTAAGTCATTACTGCAGCTAAAACAATTTCATTAAATGAAAAGACATTCTACCAAATATATTAGAGCTTCAAATGAGATATTTTGCTCATGTTCTCCCACAGCACAGCCACAAAGCAGAGCTGGCTGTAATTATGGGCATTGCAAGCACTAATTTTATTTCTAGGAACTGGTGCTGATGCCATTTGCACTCTGCATCTCACGCTGAGCTGCACAACAAATAATGTCTAGACCAGTGCTCACAGAGCTCTGTCAGGGAGGGGATGGCTGGGAGGTCTCTGGATCAGCAGTGCCAGGAGTGCTGCCTGGGCTGAGCTGGTGCTGGCTGAGCCTGGGGGCAGCCTGGGGTGGCTGCAGGGAGCAGCGTCCGAGGGGCCCGGGAACGGTCCCGACGCCCAGAGGAACTCCTGGGCGTGGGCAGGGAGCACCGCGTGCCCCGCGCCCCTCGGCCCGTCCCGGACGGGCAGCACATACCTTGGGGAAGGTCAGGCTGTCCTTGTGCTCTGCCTTGTCCCGGCTCCTGCTGTCCAGGCTGTAGAGGGCCCTGCCGAGGGGCTGGGGTAGGGGCAGGTGCTTGATGACCTGCACGGAGCTGGCGGGGAAAACGCCGCTGACGCCGTTGACCTCGCCCAGGTACCAGTTCTCGTCCAGCTGCCGCAGCAGCGCGATGATGTCTCCCTTGTTGAAGCGCAGCTCCCCGGGGTTGTGCCCGCGGTAGGTGTACAGGGCCTTGGCTCGTGGGACCTGGGGGCGAGAAACAGCCCGTGTGGTTCATCCGGCACAGAATTCCCCCAAAACATCCGTAATTACTGGGAGAAAATGCACAGGTCTGAGGCTGAAGCATGAATTCATTGGGATTAACTACCCACATCCTTTCGTGATGGATTTTACTAATGAAGACAAGCTCCCAAATACTTATGCTAAGTTTGTACCAAGAGGAAAAGCAAGCTGGACTTGTTTAAGAATATTAAGAAACGGTTAAGGCTTTAAACTCCTCTTCCCATGGGAGTTTATTGCCTGCTATAAGGTCTCTTCCAACACAATGTCTGGTTTAATGACCCAGGTTTTTCTGTTCCAGAGTCCCTGAAGGTCACAGCTGTTGTCCAGCTGACCTGGTGGCTGTCACCTGCCAGGAGAAAGCAGCAGAGCATGGTGAGTGAAGGTTCTGCTCCCCTGTGGTTCTCTCCCTGCTTTAGCAGGTGTGACTGTGGGTTTATTTCAGCCTTCACCTGGGTTACAGGAAGAGGCTGCTTAATGCCAGAGTTGTTGCAGTGTCATATCACAAAGAAGAGATACACCAAAAGCAGAAGGCTGCTTTATAGCTGTTGCAGTGTCATACCACAAAGAAGAGATACACCAAAAGCAGAAGAGTTGAGAGAACTTTGTTGTCTTGACTCTCACCAAAATGAAGTGACAAAGTTCCCTTAAAACGCGCTCCATGCTGAGTCCTGCCTGGACACTCTGCTCCTGTGGAGCTCCTGTCCTCACTGCAGTGACAGCTCTGAGGCACAGCACAGTATAGCTGTTGCAGTGTCATACCACAAAGAAGAGATACACCAAAAGCAGAAGAGTTGAGAGAACTTTGTTGTCTTGACTCTCACCAAAATGAAGTGACAAAGTTCCCTTAAAACGCGCTCCATGCTGAGTCCTGCCTGGACACTCTGCTCCTGTGGAGCTCCTGTCCTCACTGCAGTGACAGCTCTGAGGCACAGCACAGCCCTAAACTTTAAGGGAAAAAATGCTGAACCAAATTCCTGTGCTCGTAGCTTGTAGCACAGCTGTGTGAGCTCTGTGCCGAGAAAAGGGGAAGTCAGGATTGTCCCCAGCTCTAGAGCCTTGAGCAGCTTCAAGCAGAGCTGTTGCTGCCGGGACAGCCAGGGACAAGAGGCTTTCACACTGGTCTCTGCAGGTCTGGATTGTCCTTATCCTCTCTTTAGAGGCTGCCAAGTGCTGTGACCTGGTGAGGAGGACCCTGCTCTGCAGTCTTTCCAAGCCATAGTCAGCCCCCATTGCTGATCTCATGGGAGACAGCATTTCTGTACCAGTGACACATTCCAGATTTTCTTGTGTCTTCCTGTGGACTTCCCCAAAACTTCCCCAAATCCACTCGTGCCAGTGCCCAGAGCTCAGACAGCACCTGCAGAGCTCCCTCCCCCTCAGCCTCTTTTGGGAGGTCAGAAAGGTAGAAGTGAGAGACTCAGAGTTAGTTTCCTGAAGTGTGGAAATTCCCCATGGAAACTGTTTAGGTTTTGGGCGAGGACACCTTCCAAACATTGCTGCTTGGCTGGAAAAAAGGAACCAAGAAGAGAAAAATTTCATGTACTGCTTTCATTTCAAAGCCTTTGAAAGGGGAAGCAATTAGTTTAATGTTTAGCCCTAATTAACTCATTCTGCCTGTTAATTTGTGCTCACAGTAAACACACGCTCAGCTTGGGGACACTGACAGCACAGTGCTGGGGAAATGAGAACGGGGAGAGCACAGCTCTGCTCTCCACGGGGTGGGAAACAGGGACTGTGCCAGGGCCACAGAGACTGGATGCACATGCTTTCCTAAGGGAACACAGACCGAGGGGACAGAGGACACGGGCAGGCAGCTCTCCTTCAGAGCTACTCGGGGCCACATCGCTGGTGTTTCACAAGGATGAGGAGCACAGAGCTTGGATTGCCCCAGGAGCAACCATAAAACAAACAGGATTCCTGCAAAGTGCGAGAACAGGGCTGGGGGAGGAGGAGCAGCAGTGTCTGGGATGCGAGGGAACGGCAGGATACAGCACAACATTAAAGGCTGCAAGAACGAGTTATGGAAATGTATTAAAAGTAAGAGAAACTGTGGAATGAAATGCACTCCTGCTGCTGCCTGGGAACGGGGAGCAAGCAGCAGGGTGCTGACAGGCTGGAGGACAGGCCAGGATGAAGAACTGAGCCAGGCTCTTGGTGCTAGGGCTGGCTGAGCCACTCTCCTCTGGCCACACTCACAGCCTTCAGCTCTTCACCTCCTCTTTAACCCTCTCCTCCCACTTCTCTGCCCTTTCAAATCTCCCAGCCTAATCCAGCTTTTTCCAAAGTCTGTCATTTTTCCTATTTTTTTACAAATTTGTTTACAAAACTTTGTTCGCTGTTCATATACTGAGCCAAAAATATCCCTTTGATTTCCCCACTTTATTTAGGACATAAACTAAGCTTTGTCTACCCAACTAACAACATGGAGCAACTGACATGGTTTTTACTGTACAGGCCCATCATCAAAGAGCAGCAAGCTGCAGATCTCAGAGAGACATGCACCAGGGTCTCCAGGATTTGCATGTTCATAGGTGTAGGACAGAGGAACGAGGAGAGCTGAACCACCTGCAGCAGCCACAGTGCTGGGGCTGAGCTGGGCCAGTGCCACGGCTCATCACTCTCCTGCGGCTGTGGGCGCAGATTGGATCTGATCTGATCACTGTCTCACCTTGGGCTGGTTTCTGTCCACTCCTGGGTGTCCCAGATCCTCTGCAAGGCATTTGTTTCACCTTCTTTAAAGTAGGTTAATTGCAAAGGCAGAAACTGGGGTGCTAATTAACCTGGCGATAAAGACAAGGAGTGCCTGGAGGTGGCACGCTCGGGGCTGAGGGCAGAGGGAGAGGCTTTCCCAGGCCAGGATGCAGGGAGGGACCTGCTTTGTTTTGCTGGAGTTTCCTCCTGTTAGCATGTCCAGTTGCTTTTTGTTAACCCAAGGCAGCATTTCGTTTTAGTGGGGTGGTAGAGGCACCACTGGTGTACTGCACACACTGGCCAGTCCCTAGTGTGGGCTCAGCATCTGTCTGAACATCCTGCTGGGAAAACCCTGGGAGCAGCTCTGAGAAACTCGGCTAAAGGCTGGTGAACATTTGTGTGGAGCATTGCTGCCCAGTAGCAGAGAGAGAGGAAACCATCCAATGCCTCTGAGCACCCTCCTCTGCACAAAACAAAGGCTAGGTTAAAAATGCATCCATGTGTGTGAGGGGCAATTCAAGGCATCTCTTCGTAGCAAGGAAATGCACACAGAAAGGAGCTGCTTATAACTCCACAATTAGCAGCCAAGGGTTCATGCAAGACCCTGTGCTCACAGCAGAGAAGAAGAAGCAGCATGTGAGGCTGTCTGGGGATGGCTCACCGGGAGCAAAGCCAGGAGCATGATGGAAGCTGGGAATGACTGTGAACCTCGTCCCAGGCAAAACCACCCCAAGGAGCAGCACAGCCCTGTGGCAACACTGGCTCTGCTGGAGGAGACCAAGCCACAGCCTGGATACCCTGGGGGAGTGTGAGGCTGTGAAGGTCCCAGGGCTGAGATCCATTCACTCCTGCACTCCAAGCGTGACTCAGTGAGACACAGCTGGTGGCACTGGATGGGACCCTCCTGTGTCCCAGATGCTCTGACTGCACCGACGTCCCCAGCTGTGCACATGGACATGTGGGATGCAAGACGTGTGTCCTTGGGACAGCTCATTGCTGTGGACATCCGATCTGCTGCCGCTGCCTGCGGCAGCACTGGACGTGGCCCCCAGACCTCATTTCCCAGCCCTGGCTGTCACAGCACCCTGCAGGGAATGCCCTGGAGTGGCTCCTGGCTGTGCCCTGTGCACTGCATTGTGCTGAATTTTGTGAGGCTTGGCTGGTCCCAGTCTGGGTGTCACAGGAGCTGCCCCAGAGGCAGGGGTGTCATCCTTGTCCTTCTTGAGGACCTTGCATGGGAGCCAGGGCAGTGTGAATGTCTTGCCCAGAGGTAGCCAGTGACTCCAGGACAATCTGAGGGCACAGCCCAAGCCACACTCCGGATGAGCCATGACTTCCACGCCAAGCATGCAGAGCTGGGTATTATCCACATGCTGACATCAAAGGACGTGGACACACTGGCTCTTCAAAGAGATGATCAATAACATCTCTGTCCATTGCAACTGCAGAGAGCCACCTCCAACATCCTGCCACCAACTGCCTGTGTCTCCATGGCATGAATGAGCCCCATCACCTGCTTTGTGTGCACAGTTCAGGGCTCTGCAGGATCCAGTTGGATGAAAAGAGCTATTTGAATGTAAATTAATTGCCATTACAATTCTGTTTTTCTGCATTTCAGCAGAGGAGATAACTTCAGCCTTGTCACAGAGAACAAAACCTTCAAAAGTGAACTTGTCATTTCAATCTCTTCATGTAATTATATTCTGAGGATTCAGACAGTTGGGTGGTTTCTGCATTATTTCTCCCCTGAGGAGGATTGTTCCATCTCCAGGCACACGCAGACCGTGTGCACCAGGGAGAACAAAGCCAGCCTTCCTGCTCACCTCAGCCTGGAGCTCGCCAGACCTGCCTGCTTCCTCCTGGGCCCTCCAGGACGCGAGGATAGCACTGGCCATGGCTAACACTGGTGGCCACCTGCCCCTGAGCCAACTAGCCATCACGGGGAGATGCTGGAGATGTGAATTGTATGGATTTAGTTGGTTCTGTGCCGCTCCATCTGCGTGGCTGCAGCTGCTGGGGTGATGGGACTGCAGGTGGGACTGGGAGCTCTTACCCTCTCTGCTAGCTCACAGCCCTGTGCTACCACCGTATCACAGCTCGTATAACCTCTGAACATTGGCCTACTGTAGTTTTGGCTTTGCAATGCAAAAGTGACATGGAGAATGGGGAAAATGGTTAAAGAAAACACAGAGCAGCTTCTCTCGTGGAGAGGATAGGGGATGCTGAGGCACCACTGCAGGTGCCCAGCCCCGAGGGGAGCACCCAGCCACGTGCTGGTGACAGTCCTCACACTCCACAGGAGGACAGAGCTGGATCAGGCTGCGTTTTACCTGTGTGAAACACCGGAGAGACTCAGTTGGGCAGGGGAGTGCCCAGCTGCATGCAGGGCAGGGGCTGGACCTGAGCTGGGCTTTGCTCATGACAGGGCTGAACAGACAGTCTGTGAGAGGAAAAGGAGACCAGTGGGACCACGGCAGGTGGTGGAAAGGACACCAGTGGGACCATGGCAGGGGGTGGAAAAGAGACCAGTGGGACCATGGCAGGGGGTGGAAAGGAGACCAGTGGGACCATGGCAGGGGGTGGAAAGGAGACCAGTGGGACCATGGCAGGGGGGGCTGGGGCCCAGCGTGTTCAAGCTGCCGTGTCTGCATGAAACCCTTTCACGCCTCTTCCCCTGGCTGCTGCTGCTATCAGATGTGTCTCTGCTGCAGTCAGCAGTCCCGGGCAGTGGTTAAGTTGTGTGTCATGGGTTTAAGCTGCACGGAAAACAAACTGTGTCAGCCCTCGGCGTGCCCAGTCATGATGCTTTGCCTCAGCACCGCCTTTCTCAGAAGTGGCTGTTTACTGTGCAGGGAGGAAACCTGCATCCTTCTCCCTCCTCCTGCTGCTCCCGAGCCCTCTCCCTGCTGGTTCAGTGCCCTCCCTGTGCTAGGGAAGGGAGTGCTGGTGTGGCTCCTCACCCACCCTGGGCAGCACAGCCCCTGGGCCCAGGCACCTGGTGCTGGCAGGAGGGAGGGCACTCACCTACCTCTCTTGGGACACCTGCTCCCTCCAGCCCTGGCACGATGCAGAGCTGCATGGAAATGTGCCTCCTCCTCTCCCTTCCCTCCAGGGGGAAAATGACAGACTCAGGCCAGTGACCAACTCCGTGGACCCAGGGACAGTGGCCCACGACCAGCAGGGAAACTGAGAAGAGCAGGACTGAGCCTCAGGCTCCTGCTGACCACGGCTGTGCGCAGGTAAGCTCCTGGAGGAGCCCTGCTGTGCTATTCCTGACTTGCCATCTGAGCCTGACTCATTGCCTTGGAAACAAATTAAAACACTTTTATGTGTTTGCAGCTTGGTACCTAATTTTGTAGAACCAGGGAAACTGGCTCCTGCTGTTGGCCACGGAGGTCCTCTGGCTTTCCACAGCCCGTGGTGTGACCCAGCAGTGCCCTGTGCCTAGTCTGCTGCTCACATAGCTTTCGGGGCGTGTTGTGCGCCAGTCTGTGCTCGGGTGATCCCACTCTCTTTGCAGTAGATAAAAGTGCTAAAACTACATGCAAAGGGACAAAAGGCACATACTGGTGTCTTGCACAAGGTGCCACCAGCACTGCCTGAGCAGCTCTTGTGGTCACACTGGACGTTCTGTTACAATGAGGCAAACCCTGATGGGACGGAGAGTTGGGACAAGCCCTTTCTCCAGAAAGGCCACAAGGACACACAGAATTTTGTAGCCAAATGAAGCCTCTCCATGTCCAGCTGAGGGTCCCTGTGGCACACAGCCACCACCCCCAGCAGCTGTGGGGTGAGAGGATGCTCCCTGTCTCCAGTGGGAAAGGAGCTGGTGCCGCTGCCTCAGGCAGAGCTGGGCCCTGGGCAGCATCCCCAGGTTTGTGACATCCCCACAGCTCTGGTCCAGCTCAAGAGGATGTGACACACGTTTTGAGGCCACAGGAACTGCAGGGGCTTGGGGGGGGTGAGCAGGGGGTTGGCTCAATGAGTGGGCCAGGAAATGCGTTTGCCTCCGCTGAGTGCAAACACGGAGGTTGCTTTGAACAAGACTTCAAGAAGCTCCAGCAATCCAAGTCCTGTCTGTCAAATCCAGAAAGGAGCTGGAGATGATTCTGGAGGAGAAGAAAATACTAAGACGCAGGCACTATCTATAGACGTCCGTGTGAAGGTGGGACGTTGGAGTGCAGGGTATTTTTATCCCAATAGAGGTGTTATCTGTCTATCTCCCATGAAATGATGGAGGGGGGTGTTAAGCACTCAGTGCATGCAAAGAGAAAATAGCCCAAGTCACAGTTAAATCTGCGTGGTCTGTGTTTTCCCAAGACAAGCTGTCATACTTGGGATTTTTCTCCTCTGGCTCACTGTCCCATGTTTGTTGCATGACAAAGTTCAGCACCCAAGTAGCTGTTCGTGGCCTGGACGGAGTTTTGCTGTGTGCAGGGTGAGGAGAGGTGTGGGAGGGTCACTCGCTCAGCAGGGCTGCAGCCAGGTGAGGAGGAGCTCCTGCACAAGCCATAACCACACCTGGCACATGCCACGGGTGGTTCCGAGGAGTTCAAAGGCTTCATCGTGGCTTATTTTTGAATACACCTCCCAGCAAATGCTTTTATTCTTAAATTCCAGACAGTTTATTATGTGGAGATCCTGAAAATTCAAACTCTTGTCCTCTCTGGTTTGATGTGAAAGATCTGAAGGCCTGGCCCGGGGTGCTAGGAGCAGCTGTGGGACAGTGCCAGGGGCTGGGGGCTCAGCGCTGCTCCGAGGACCCAGCACGGACAGGCTTGGGTCCACGTGCACAACCCCAGCACGTGCCCACCCCACATTAGCACGTAGGAAGTGGATTCAAAAGGGATTTAAATGCTAGCAAATAAATAGTTTGGGATGGGCTGTAATTAAGAAATTCCCTGTTTTTTAACAGCTGGCTCTGGGAAATCACTGGCAGAAAACCAAGCACTGTGCTCGTGCTAATCCAGGCCCTGCTGGCTCTTCCTGCCCAGAGTGGGACGAGCTCTTGGCTTGCTGGGTGACGAGGGATTTATCTTACTTTTTGCCTTCATGCAGGCTCAGGGGGATGAAGAGCAAAGAGCTGGCAAGGAAACATCTCAGCTGAGAGAGAAACTTTGATGGAACTTGTGATTTTCTCAGCTCCAGGGAGTAAAGGAGTTTTATTTATAGGACAGGCTTGGTAAAAACAAACCCCAGCCCATATCCCGTGTTGGATGGTGGCTCTGGCTGCAGTACAGCACGGGGCACATCAGTTTTATTTGCTTTGCAGCATGAGGTAGTAGATAGCACTAGGGATGACTACCAACCCTTGCAGATTGGGGCCCTCTGATTTGGGGAGCACAGGACCTTCCGCTGCAGCGGCACGTGGACACTGCATTTGGAGTTCCCTGGGGGAGCACCGTGCTGGGACCAGCAGCACTGCAAGGTAGCTGCTCTCACTGTGACTCCTGACAAGAAGCATCTGAGGTTCACACCATGCAGAGGCCTCTGCTTACCCAGATCCCTTCAGGTGAATGCCCTGGAGCTCAAGCACTCCATGGTGCAGGGTGATGGCAAGTCAGCCTCATCACTGCCTCGTCTTTGCACCTCACAGGTACTTCCAAAGGTGTCCCTGCTGTGTGGGGTGATGTGCTGCTGGCCCCGGGAGCCAGCCCAGGGGAGGCTTCAAGCCCACAGACATCCCACTGGAGCACCCAAAGTAACGGCTGGTACAGAACGCAGGTATGGAAAACCACCAAAACCTTCCTAATGACTAATACATTGCATTCTTCACCTCGCAGCTGAGGATTCCAAGGTGTTTTATAATTAACTAATTAAGTCTAAGAGCATTTCAGTGTAATGTATTTTATATCCCTTCCCAGAGAGGCACAGGAGCTCAGAGGGCTGTCCCAGTGCTGGGCAGCTGGCTGCAGCCACCGCTCCCCCAGCGCTTGCTGCCTCTGCTGATTCCCAGGAATTCGGCCTGGAAATTAGCCTTAGAAGTTTTTGGGAGCTGCAGACTGGTGGATGTTGCCATTTTAGATCAGCAGCAAGTTCCTACCTGTCCTGAGAACCAGTAAAAAAAGGAACATGAAACGAGGGAGAGAGAAGAAAACCAGATGAGTGTATTTGTGCTTTTTCAACCCAGGGCCAGGGGAATCTGGTTGGAAGAACTACAGCCTTCTCCTTGTCAGCTGGAATGCTGCCCGGGATGGCAGTGTCTGAAACCTGCTACTGTTGGATGAACTCCTGTATGAACAGCACCAGCAGCTCCCACAGCTCCCCTGGAGAGCTGGTGAGAGTCTCACTGCTGCCTCAGCCCCACACACAGAGCAGGGTCCCCCTGGCAGGGGCTGTCCCTGAGCCATGGGCAGCCTGAGGACCAGCTCTGCTGTCCCACCTGGCTGCCACACACCTCCCAGGTGCTGTGGGCAGGAGAACACTCCATGCTGGGCTGTGTCACCCACTCGCCTCTATCCCTACCCCTGGCTGTGCTGTGGCCAGGCAGCAATCCCGGGAGAGGGACCTGGTGCCTGTGGGTCAGGGATATAACGCAGGAAAGGTGAAGCCACAACTCTCTACCCCAAATTCCATCTGAGCCAAGCTCCTTTAACAGGTCTGATATCACTTCCTCATTATTCAAGAAAAGCTTTTGTACTGTTAAAGGAAACAACAGAAAGAACTTAGAATTTTAAAATTAGTCTAGTAACTCATCCCTAGGTACAGTCAGTGAGTGAGTCAAGTTTAACATTTTTAACTAGTGAACCTCCAAGTACTTTGCCAGGGACAGCAGCATCATTGGGCACTCCTTCCTTTCCAGCACAGGGGAAACTGAGGAGCAGTGATGAGAATTGCCTACTCCACCACTGACAGTTACAGCTCTGCAGTTACTGACTTCATTGCTAGCAGTCAAGAGCAGCATATTGCCCAAAAGCCAAAGCACCTGAAATGCCCCCCAAAGCCAGGAAGCATCTGGAAACTCTGGGGTGAAAAACAGCTGCTGGAAAGTTTCTGCAAGGAGGAGGGCAGGCTGGCTTTATCTCAGCCTGGGACTCGGTAAAAAAAACTGCTGCAATGAACTCGAAACAGCTAAATATCACATGGAAACAGCAGCCAGATTTGCAAACAAAACACTTGCTCTGACTTCAAACGCTCTGCAGTGCTGCTAACAGAGAAGGTTCCTGGCTCTGGGCACACAGCAGGAGCCTTTCTATGCTCACAGACAGAATGAGGAACGTGGAGCCTCCTTACCCCTTCCATGTGGATCCTGGGATTCGTCGCCAGCCGGTGCTGATGCAGCTGCAGCCCCCTGGGGACCCTCCTGATGGACGCGGGGGAGGACAGGATCCCTGACCTCTGGATTGAGCCGAACCTGCTGACGTTTTGTCCACACCTGACTCCATCCAGGAGGCGAATGAGCAGCAGGTTGGACGGCAGCTGCTCGATGCTGCAGAGGACGAGGGTCCTGCACTCGGGGCACCGGAGCTCCTTCTGGGATTTCAGGATCCTCTGCAGACAGGGCTTGCAGAAAGTGTGCTGACACGGCAGCACCTTCGCCGAGGCGTCGAGCTTCTCAAAGCACACAGGACACTCCAGCAGGTCAAGGAGAGCCAAGTCATCCATCCTAGCGCA